GTGTCTATGCATTTGTTTCTCTAGTCAACCTGGACTAACACATAGATGAAAAGTACCAATTCCTTGAAAGAAAAATAGATAACAGGTAATCCTGCGTTTATTAAAGAAATTGAATTCACAGTTGAAAATCTTCCATAAAGAAATTTTTCAGGCCAAATAGTTTCACTGGAAAAGTCTAACAAAATTTTTAGAAGAAAATAGCACCAAGTTTTCATAATTTCTTCTATAAAATGGAAGAGAAAGTAAAACTCTCCACTTATTTTATGGCTCAGCATTTCTGCGATACCACAGACATTACAAGAAAAAATATGTAAAAAACTACAAATACAGCGATATCTCAGTTGTCAGACAGCTCCAAAGCCCAAGCTTTCCATGACTTGAACAGCAAAGTCTGAAGAAAAAACAATCTGCTTGTTGGCTCGGCATTCGTGACTTTACTCTACAGCAGAACCCAAAATCCAACCCGAGAACATCCGTCTGGGTCAGGAGGGAGCCACGTGACTCGCCTTGCTGTGGGCACAAGGAGTGGTGCTTCAGTGTAAGCATCCCTCTCATTCAGATAGCATAGTCCTTGTGTTAGTGAGCTAAAACATTCGTCGTTGTGCTTTTATTTGTGCTTTATATGCGTGACATACCGTAACCAGAGCTCCATCGAAGGTTAGGGATACCATCAGTGACGCTAAGAGGAAAGCTGTGAGCCCCATGGTAGAGTTAAAGAACGAAGTCATTGCGAGTTTGAATCCGGTCACCCTTCCTCTCATTTGGTGCTGAGCGCAACATGGCTAAGTCAACATTATCAACATTGGGGTGGGGGAGCGGGCGGGAATGTGACCAGAGCAGCTAAGGTAGGGAAAAGTGTGAAATCCTTAACAAGAAACAAAGATCTCGGACCATCAAAGAGGTTGAAAACCTACTGTTAATTTGGATACATCAGAAACAGCTTGATAGTGATAGTGTATCTGAGACGGTGATATGTGAGGCTAAAAGCCTTGTGGTAGTTACATAATGTGGTGTCAATTTGAAAGGATTACAAGTGAAGGGGTGGAGTCTAGGCTGTCAATCAGTTAATAGCCAATGAGGCCTCTGTGTGGGCATAGCCGACTCCTGAGGATTCTGGGAATTCCTAAATTCCTCCTTGGAGGCAGGAGACACTCTCTCCCTTGGCTCACTCCCTTGGAGACTCTCTACTGACAAGGCTCAGTCCCCACAAGACATTTCTGAGGAGCAGTCACATAAAGCTACCCTGAGGCAGTCAGAGTTTCGGAGCTAAAGGAACCACATGGAGACCCCTTGCCAGTGCTGAGATGCTTACACCACTGGATCCACCAGACGTTCCACCCACTGGCCTGTGATCTTCCTGAATTCGGCGTCATTGCATGTGTTTCATGAGTCTGAAGAGGACTTTATAGATTGGTATCAGATATACAGGCTAATATCGGACTTATGAACTTGATCTGGACTGGGTTAGGATGTTTTCTCAATATTCAATTGCTCTTATATATAAGCCTCCTTCTAATACACATATGAGTCTCCCTGGATTTGTTTCTCTAGTCTACGCAGACTGACACCAACCTCCACAGTGATTTAAAGTCTTGGAAAAATGAATTTATAAGTGTAATTTTGGGCTTCAGAATCAATTACTTGGTTCTCCATAATTTCTTATGGGAACATATATTCAGTTCTCAAGATTTTTGGTGTTTGAACACGAATGTGGAAAGAATTGAGTTTGAAAACCAAGATATTACTATATTTATCGTAAATATAGATATATCCACACAACACCCAAATTGAATGCACCAACATATAAAACCCAAACCCACTACCATGAGCCAGTCGCCCTATAGGACACAGTAGAACTATTCCTCAGGGCTTCTGAGATATCGAATCTTTCTAGGATGAGACAATGTCATCATTCTCTCTTGGAGCAGCTGGTGAGTTTGAACTGCCAACCTTTCCGTTAGCAACCGAATGTTTAATCTCGCAGCAACACCAGGGCTCCTTCAGAAACAGATGACTCACTCACTGCCATCCATTCGATGCTGACTCCTAGCGACCCTATAAGACAAGGCAGAAGTCCCTCCTGTGAGTTGCTGAGACTGTAACTCTTTGCGGGACTAGAAAGCCCTGTCTTTCTCTTTAGGAGCGGTTGGTGGCTTTGAATTGCTGACCTGTGGTTAGCAACCCAATCTGTAACCACTACTTCACCAGGGCTTCCTTCAGCAATGTCGAGATGGAGTTACCCTGGGTTATCAGGAGAGACCAGTCCCTGGGAAAGCAGAGGGGCTGTGTAAAAGGGGAAGGCTTTTCATGAGATGGATGGGCACAGTGGCTGCAGAAACCCCTGTGAGGCTGGTGCAGGCTGGGTGGTGTTTTGTTCCCCGGTGCATGGGGTTGCACTCAGTAGCATCTACCAGCATCCACTCAATGGCGGTGAGTTTGGGCATTTGGCTACGTAAGGTGTGTTTCTAGAAAGGAACTCTGGCAATACAGTGGGCTGTGTATCGGGCTGCTGAGCTTAGCCGTTTGAAATCATCGGCTGCCCTGCGGGAGGAAAGAGGAGGCTTTCTCCTGTAATTATAGCATCTCGGAAACCCTGCCGGGCAGTTCTACCCGGTCCCCTAGGGTCACTACCCTAGGGTCACTACGAGTCAGAGGGCAGTGGGTTTCACTTTGTGCTTGTGCATTTAGTGCATTAAAAATCTTCTTACCCCGTTGCTCCTTGCTTTTCCTCTACAGTTGCTCTCACTCCCCCGGGCCTCACACCCCTCTGACTTTCTCAGCCACCCCTTCTCACCCCACCTGGGAGATGGCAGCTCTGGGGGCCGCTGAGTCTGACCTTCTGCTGTGGTCGTGCCCAGAGGGAGGAGGCTCAGAGCTGCAGAGATGACCACCCCTACCCGTGGAGATGCCAGGTCTGCTCAGGCCTTGCGGCTCCTCTGAGACCCAGGATGGCCGAGCTCCAAGGGCCTGCCAGCCCCACAGCCGGAGAATGCATGCTGCCCCGCTGCGAACCTCACCCGGCTCCCCTCCTCTCTCTAGAAGGAATTGAAGTTTGGCAGTAAAAGTGGGGGTTTTGTTGTTATTGTTTCGATGTGTTTGTTTTGCTTTGTTGGGGGATATTTTTAAACTTCAAAGAGCCTCCGCCCCTGGAGCTGGGCGCTGGAAACGCTGTGAAAGCCCTCGGCAGAGAACCAGAGTGGTCCAAACAAAGCCAACTTCTGGAAACTTCCGTGGGCCACAGAGCACATCAAGTGGGGTGCCTGGGAGGCGGGATTGCGTGCGGACTCTCCAGGCACAGCTGGGCCTCATCCTCTGAAACGCAGGGTGACAGGGAGGGAGACACTAGCCAGTCTGTGGGAGGAGCCCTGGGGGATCCTGGGCGATGAGACGCCAGGGCAGCTGACCCTGACCCCTCAACTGTGGGCATTGTTTTGAAGTCTTCCTCACAAAGCTCCACCTCAGGGGCACCTCCAAAAAGGGCCAGGCAGGACATGGGTCAAGCGGGGCCTTGGTGAAGGGCCCGCTGTGCTGTGCCCGGGCGAGCTGAGGGTGAGGGTGGGGACCACCAGCTGCAGCCCAAGGTGTCCAGAGCAGGAAGGGGCTTCTTGAAGGACGCCCCCATGGCTGCCTGGCCCCAAGCCTGTGTTCCTCAGTGACATCAGCTGTAATGACAGGGACACCGTGCCTCCAGCCCCCTGCCCTACTCACCCTGGGACCCCACCCCCTCTTCTAGGCCGTGTCTCTCCGCCCCTCCCTCCAGGATATGGACTCATCGGGCCCCAGCCAGGCTGGCCGACTTGGGAAGGAGAGTTGGGGAGCCTCCTGGGGAAATAGGGCGGGGGACCCCAGGAGGCTGCAGATGGTGGGCAAGCCCCCCTCAGAGACAGCCTCTCCCCTGGGGGTGTGGACCGCAGGGCAGGGAGCTGCAGGCCAGGGTCGTGGCCCATGTCATCAGCATCTGGGGACAAAAGTCCCGACTAGATGTTTGATCCCTGATCGCAAACACGTGTGAGCAATAGCGCAAAGAAGCAGCTCATCTCGGCCCGAGCGGGAGGCCCGCTGCACACGCTCCAGCTCGCGCTGCGGAGTGTGGACAGAGAAGCCACTTTCCAGAAGAAAAGACCCTCAGACTGCTTTCTAAAAGCCTGATGGCACACACCACACGGAGCTCCCTCCTCCAGCAGAAGCCCCCTCCCACAGAGTGCTCCCATCTGAACCCGACACGGTCCACCCCACCCCAGACACCCGTCGTGGAGTAGGCAGCCCAACTGTGGGCCCAGTAGGGTCCCTGAAAGTCAGCCAGCACGCTGATTCTGGGGACCCCAACACAGGCCCCTGCATGTGTATTAACTGTGAGGAAGGAACTACTGAACAAGCTTCCAGGGAACGACTGCCCTGCTCCCAGGGCAGGTGCAAACCCCTAAGCGCCCCCGCCCCCCATCACAGAGCCATGAGCACCCTCCAGCTCAGCTCCCATCTCCATTGTCACCGGGGCCATACCCGCTCCTCCCTCAGCTCAGAGCAGACAGGGCGCCATCCCTCAGCCGGTCACAGCACCAAGTAACAAGAGTGGGGGAGACCCAGGTACCCAGAGTAGGGGAGGCCCAGGTACCCAGAGGGTGGGGCACCCAGGTACACAGAGTAGGTGGGGGAACCCAGAGAATGCAAAAAGCAAATGGTGACCAGGCTGGCATTCAGGGGGGGGGTACCCTGGGGACAAGGGCCACACTATTGTCTTCAGTCTGTGGAGGGGGTGGGCCCCCATCACAGAAAGGCCATCCTCGACCTAGGGGACACAGGTGTCTGGGGGTGTCCTCAGTCACGGAGGGAGGCTGGTTCTCCTTCTGACCCCACTGCAGCCCCCGTCATCCCACTCCCCCCACCCCCCACCCCTGGGACCTGGCCCATGGCTGACTGCAGACTAAGCCATTTCTAGAAACCCCTGGAGCTCTGTGTTCAGGCCCTTCCTGGGAGCCACAGTGCTCCTGTCCAACACTCACCTCTAACAGCAGCCTGCCCTCCAGCACCTCGGAGCCACCCTGTGCGGTCCCGTCGCCCAGCGAGGGGTCCCCAGCCACCAGCCTCTGAGAGCCAGTCTCCTGCACAGCTGTGGACAAAGAAGATGTGTCAGTCCCTCCTGGCTGAGCTGCTGCAGGAGGTATAACAGGGGCTGTAACGGTGGTACTGCTTGGCTGGGAGGGCACGCGGCTTCCGTAACTGCCCTCAATTCACTGTGGTTAGAAACCCAATCTGTAACTTGCAGCTCCTCTCTGGGGATCAAGGTCAGTGGACATCCAGCCAGCGATGGTCTGGACCCTGAGTCTACCCTTTGAGAACAAGGACCCCAAGGGCTGTCTCCTCCCCCAGGGCCACATCCTGTATCCCCAAGGTGCCACCATAGACCAGACATGCTACTGTCTTCAGGGCTTACCCCTCTCCAGGGGGTATGCCTCCCCTCCTGGAGCTCCACCACTACGGCCCAAACCAGGGACACCCAGTGCCATATGGCCAGGAGAAGGAGACCCCAGGACAGCCCCTGGGACAAAGGCACATCACATCACACCCATGCAGCAAAGGGTCAGCGCACACAAGGACCACCCCCCCCTCCCCCATCTCCTCTAGTACCTAGGCTTGGAGACCCTGCCTGTGGATGCCGGTCTGGCTAGAACCCAGCAAGGAGTGTTCTGAACAGTCTCTAAAGCCCAGTCCCCTCACCTGCATGGGGAAGCTCACAGGGGCTAACCCTGACCCCAGACTCACGCCACTGTGACCCGTGCAGGGACCCTTGGGCTGGAAAGAGACTTGGAAAATCTAGGAGCTGTGGGTCAGGGGGCCCTGCCCAGGGGAAGGACAGGCTGCCGCCTCCACTGGCTCCACCACACTCTCCTCTCACAGCTAAGGAGCAGGAGCCCTGGTGGCATCCTGGTTAAGCGCTGGGCTGCTAACTGCAAGGTCAGCAGTTTGAAAACACCAGCCCGGCTGAGGGACACAGATGAGGCTTTGGAATTGACTCCGTGGCAGGGAGTCTGAGTGTGTTTGCACCTGCCACATCTTAACCAGAAACGGCAGCTTTCTGGTCCTGGAAAGGCCAGGGCTGCAGTGGGATTGATGGGCATCCAGTAGAATCTGACTCCTAGCGGCTCTACAGAGCAGGGTGCGAAACCCCACCAACAAACACCCACAGCTGCCCCAGGGGCAGCACTACCCTGCCCTATAAGGCTGCTCTGTCAGGCCAGTCTCTGCTCTGGAAGCTGGGAGCCCCTGGCAGGAGGTACTCCCACCTCAGGCCACGGGGCAGTGCAGGCTTGGACCCTGGAGAGGGGAGGAGAGCTGGGGGTGGTGGCAGCAGGGCCCTAGGCTGGGGGACCTTTTTTGCAGCCAGCTGCCACCCGTGCCCACCAAGCCACAGGGAGCCCCATCCCTGCGGAGCAGCCCCTCCCCCACCCTGTGGGGTCACTGCTGGGCTGGGTTTGGAACTTGGAACTTCTCTCTCCCGGGCCCTGCGGACCACGAAGCCGTTCTGTGGGGAGTGGTGGGGGTGAGGCTCCAGGACCCTGCTGCGGACCTGCACCCCGATGCGGCGGAGCAAGGTTCTGGCTGCTGCGGGGGCGGGGTTGGGGAGCAGGGGTGGTGGTGCTGGACAGACCCCAGAGCCGAGAGCCCCTCCGGCCTGGGCTCCTCCCCGGGCAGGAAGCCGAGCTCCTACCCCCGCCCCTCCCCTCACTTTCCCCGAGGGGGGAGGGCGCCATGCCACGCCCCCAGCATCGTGTCCGCGCGCCCCCACTTCCCTCCTCCGCACGAC